TTCACAATTGTCTTTTGGGTATTTGATATATTTATATATACCTTTAAGTATTTTAATTAAAGAGGTAGGTGATAGATTTTTTTGAATACATGAATACCTGAGAATGTCTTTTTGTTGTTGTGTTTTGCAAAAGCTATTTAGTTGGGATTAATAATTTTTAGAGTGTGTCTATATAAATAATTTCAATAGATACCGTTATTGGCCAGAAGCTATTGAGACAAGCTTTTTAACTGTTTTTTTGGAAGCTTATTTGCATGCTCAGAGTGTTTTTTTCCTTCACTACTTTTCTTTGGCTTTTTCTTTGCCAGTGAATGCTTGAGTCTTTTTTTCTCTGTTAACTCTACCTGTTATATTGTAAATCATATCAGATACACCAAAGCCCTAATTGTTAGGCAATCCTATATTTGCTGACATTATGTCTATTGAGTTTCTATTTATTTTCATCTTTACCTTTTATTAAGTTAGTGACAGATTAAGTTTGTCTTCCCCAGGATTGTGTAAGTGCTTTTCTTTTTTTTTTTTTTTAACTGTCAATTATACTATCTGTATGAGGAAAGCTGGAAGATAATCAAGTTTGTGATGATGTAGGAAGTGTGTGCAGGACAAAGCAAGACTTAGGAAACATATTTTTCATAGATCGTGTGTTACAAATAGTGTACAATGATAACAAGATTAAAGTAGAAGTTGGTTATCTTTCCTAGGTATGGGAGGCTTAGTTTTCACTAACTCAGTTGTGCACACTAGTATATAATGCCTGTAGAAATGGAAGAAGGGTTGAATACATAAGTGCTTGGCCTAGGTTGGGTAGTTTGTTTTATTTCCAAATGAGATAATATGAAGTAACTTTGACCAGTGTGAATATTTTAGTGCCAATAGAACATTCCACTCAAAAGCCCATGTCATGCTAGGGAGACTTGCTTTGCAGAAAAAGTTCACAATAAAGGGATAACAGATTTTAGTTCTATTAATGTAGTTTATATAGCCTGGACATTCTTAGCTTACCCAGATGCTGTTTTACTTTATTTCATTTTATTATCTCTGTTGTTTGCCATGTTATCATCTTAAATCTATCGTCCCACCTCAGCATGTTTAGTTTGCCTGTACAGGTGTTTCAGCATGGCTTCTGGACACTCCTAAATGTGAGAAAGCTCTTTCTCAAACAAGGTTTTCATGTATTTCTCCTAAGTTATGGTCTGAGGCATACTCTGTCTTACGATTAAGGATGGTATTTGTTCTGAAACTATCCAGCACCTTTCTTTTTCCTTGTGTTTCTGATAGTTTGGAATACTGGAGTCTCTGCAATAATCTCCAGTATATACTTTGCTACTAGGATTCTGGTCATAGTCACTGAGCCTATATAATTTTACTTAGTAGCTACAGTTGTACTGTGTATCACTTCTGGCTCCACAGCTACTAGCCCCACTGATTCCTCAGAGTTCATCTCCTAACAGAAGGACTAAATTACTTTGGGGAACAATTCTTCCTTAATTTTACAGACTGACAAGAATTTCTCTTTTGTTAACTAAACTTTCCAGTTCAAAGGCCAGAAATGATAAATGCATAAGAGGTCTCTCTCAGTTCTTTTAGGTAGACAAAAAAAGTAGTTTATATAACAAAAAGTACATGTGAGTACTTTTTCCCTCCTTCTTGCTTTCTCATGTTCTGTCTCACTCCTCTCTCTCTTTCTTACTTTTGTCCACCTCGCCCCCATTAGCTTTGTAATGTATGTGAGTCAGGTAGTACCTGTTACCAAATATCTAAGTAAGTTAAGTATAATGCTACAAGAGAGAAACGTAAAGCTGTAATAGAAGGAGAGAATTCGTAATCAAAGTTTTCCATTCTTAAGTGATTTAAGATTTGTCATAATAGCCATTTTCTATTTTGATGTGAGTATATATTGATAAATAAAATATTTTTAAAAACCCTTTCCTATGAAAAAATAAAACAAAATTTCATAACAAAATAATTAGAGAATATCAATGTGTAATACACCATGTATCATGGTATCAAAAGAATGGCCAAAATGTTATTCAAAGTATAAATCATAGATAAAAAATATAGATTCTCATAGTTATTTTAGGGAAGGTTGGATAAAACTAGTTTAAACATAAACAGCTAGTATAGTAGAGTATAGTAGTAGAAATAGCTTTTATTTATGTATGTATGTATGTATTTATGAGACAGGGTCTTGTTATGCAATGCAGGCTGGCCTTGTGCTTACTTTGTAAATTAGGGTGGTCTTGAACTCATAATAATCTTCCTGCTTCAGCTTCCCAACTGCTAGAATTACAGGTGTGTATGACCATACCTGGCGTGAAATAGCTTTTAAAATACAATCCAGTGACAACTTACATTATAGACTGGAAATCTGTATGTTTAATGATCTCTGACTAGCTTGCTATTCTAGTATTCAACAACTATAGTTTAAGAATTTGTTGACGTAAAATAACAACTCTGCTTGAAAAGCAATTAGAAAATACTTTATTCTGAGATAAACATAAACATAAACATGGCCCAGGAACATAAATTCAGTTTGTCCTAATTAACACATTTTGCACGGAAGAGGATACACATGCTCTCACAGTTGCAGCAATCAGAATGCCCTGCTTAACTGGGATCACATGTTCTGTCATGTCTTTAATAGAGATGCTCCATTCACAAACCATACACTTCAAAGTCCTAATGTTTGGTAAGAGAAGAGAAAATATATAATACCTTCATCTTGTTAAGCAGTTGCTCTTCTTGAGAAGTGATGTATAGTGCTCTGAAAAATAGCTTTCATTATGTGGAAGACATGATGGTGTATACTTCTTAAACCAGGTAATCCTCTTCACACTTCCTTAAATTCTTATTTAGTTCTCTCACAAAAAAGAAAAAAATAAAGATTAGAGAGATTAAATAATTTCCTCAGGGGAATATAGTGAGGAAGGTCAAACCTGGATTTGAATCTAAGGCTCTGATTCAAAGAATGTATTAGTCATCACTGTGCCTTTCAAATTCACTCAATTGGTTGAGCTAGCAGAGTGAGTGAAGTAACGAATGTATTTGCATTAATTTAAACTGCTTTCCACCAGGGCTCTGGTATGATCTGGTTTCTGGTTTCTGCCTCCCCAACTTTATTTGAGAACCTTTCTCCCAATATTCCTGCTACCAGTCCTCCACTCAAAGCTTTTCTGTTGTTCAAATAGCACATTTCAGGCCTTTGCCTGTGCTGATTCCTTTGCCTGCAGTATTGTGGCTCCTTGTGTTGTCGATTGTTAGCTCTTCCTTCTCTTCCAAGTCTTGGCTCAAGTATCATTTGTCTTATTACAATGATTATGTATGAAGTAGCTGTCATTGCAAGTTCTTCTTATCACTTGTTTGTTTCCTGCACAGCACAAACTGTTCAAAGACTGAAATCAGTCTGTTCACTTACTTGTTTGTATATCCCCAGGCACGATGTAAGATCCTCTAGGGACTATTTCTCTCCTTCATGGAACTGTACCTACAGAACTTACAATAGCATTTGACACATCCTAGCTGTGTAAAGACTTGTTGAAAAAGAAGAATAGGTAAATCCTTTAATATTTATCTTTGTTTGGGAACAATGCCTTTATAAGTTCTTCAGCTGAATGTACATGAGAAGTAATATTCTCATAATCATGAGCATTCTAGATCATGTTTCTGCTTTAAGCAGGACTTAAAACTGTAACTATGTTCATTGAAACTCTTGGAGTAGGAGAGATGTTTGTTTTGGTTTTAACATGCTCAGGAGTCTTATTTACCTGTTCAATAGGCACCTGAAAGTGAATGTTTCACCTGTAATAGAATACTTTACTAACACATCCTTTAGCTAAACAAGGAATTAGTTTCAGAATTAGTACACTAAAACTCTTTGGAAACATGAAATGATTTCTTCAAGGCTCTGTGGGTAGATCTAGGTTTAGAAACTCAGGACTCCATACTTTCTATTGTGTCATATCAACTCCTGCTTTCCCTCCTCCAATTTATAGACTTACTACAGGAAGAGTTGATTATGCATGAAAGTTGATAATAAATCTGTATCTAAGGAAGAAAAAATATCAATAACAAAGCTCCTAATTTATTTTAAACTCACAGAAATAAAGTAGGTTTTATGGGAGCCTTAATGTTGAAACTATTACACAGTCTCAGTCTCAAGCATTTGCTTTGTAGAAGCAAGTTTTATCAGGATATATCTTGAAACAGAAAGGGAAAGTAATAGCAGATTTAGAATGAAACAGTATCATGTGCAGTTTTTCACACCATACTTACAAGTTAGCAATTAAAGCTCTGCAACATATGAGTCTAATATTCTGAAATCACAAATCAGATATAATAACCTAAGGACTTTTCTTTATAATTCTTACATGAAAAATGAATCCTTCCTGTGTTCGAGTTTGTTTCTTAAAAATATGGTATGATTTATGTGAATTAGTTTATATACACATTTTATAGCACATAGTATACTATACCTTTCTATGTCCTCCTGAAAGCCAAAGTTTTAACTTCTAAGGCAAAAACTCTCCCACTTGTGTAAATATAAGTTGAAGGAAAGTGGTCATGTCATCAGTGGACACATATGACCGATAAAAGGAACATATATAATATATATAGTGTTTTTTATTTAAAAATGCCACAAAACAAATAGAATCAAAACCTTTATTGTCTATTTGTTCTTAGTCTCCTAAGGTTGGCAACAACATTGGCTCATTAACTTATAGAGAACAGTCTCCAATGTAGATAACTATGAAATGTAGGTTGTTTTTTGTAAATAAGAATTTTATGCTGACTCAGTAAAACTGTAATTTCCTCAGAGATTTGTTCATGGTATGGAGAAAATAGAATTGATCTCCACTGACTATACTTGTAAATCATAGAAGCATAGACTCATAGCACTTGGAAGCAGACATGGTTATCTTGTGGAAAGTATCCCTTGGAAAAGATGGAGTCCTAAAATTTGTTCACTATTGTAACGATTTCTTTGTCTCATTTTTGTACAGGAATATATGGACTCTAATAAATACATTGAGCATTTGCTAACCCAACTTGAGGAGCAACACAGAAGTCTCTGGAGGTAAGTTAATTTCATGTTCTTAGTTGTTTGCTAAAGTCTCTATATCTTTAATCTTGATCATGGAACAGAAGTTGGAAAAAGGTATCTCTTTTCATTTGGTGCCATTGCTGTGGCATAAATTACTAGAGGCTACCTACAGAATGCCATTCTTTTAATTAAACTAAAGGAACAGGACCAAAAGTTGACCTTGAATATGGGATCTGCTTTAAAGGCAGAAGGATGGTGTGAATCCTGGAACTTGTCAAGAAATTAAATAACTTGCCCAGGACCACATGACGTACTTACACTGTAGTGGAATGTAGAACAGAAATTCTCCAATCTTTGCCTACTTAAGGATTATTTACATTTTTCTCTCATTAAAAGGTACAACATATCTGCTGAAAAGTTCTGTTTCTTTTCATATTAATGGGGAATACTTTAGAAATGTTTTTTTGGGTTTTTTTTTTAATATATTGGGTTCTGGGTCTAGGTAAGAAAAATCATATGAGAATATTTTTTCAAGCATATTGGAAATAGAAATTGAAAACACAGAAGTTATATCCTCAAGCCATGTATTCATTACCTCAGACCTTTTGAGCATATGCTGACCAAGACAGTTGTGATGTCGTTACTTAGCTTTTTATGGTTCATGTGGTCATATTGTTTATAGGTTCTATGTACAATTTGATGTTTTTCTAAATTCCTGTTGCTCTGTTTTATTAAATATGCCAGTCTTAATTAGATGTGTCACAATTATATTGTCATTGTTTCAAATAATGACCTGTGTCCCAACAAGGCTCAGTAACCCCCAAACTCCTGGAGAAAGTGTTTTTCCTGTACACTGAGATGGTGGGTGAATATTTATTAACTGAGTCACTTTCTTTCCCAACCTTGTTCAAATCCATCACTAATGAGGATAGGTTGGCCCATTTCCATGCACTGTTGTAACAAATCCTGTCTGTAACCTCAAATTCACTATTGCAACTTCAAAATTCATCTTTCCTAAATAGCTATAGTTCTTGAGTAACACCATCTATGTCTTAACTTGTTTTACTAATATAATTTCCCTATCAGAGCACAGATATCTTGTGCTAGTAGAAAATGCTCTGTTTCTATACATAGGAAAACTGCTCTCAGATACAACAAATGTTCAATTTTTAAGTCTACAACTATCAGACACTGGTTATTTTTATGTTTATTGATAGAATATTTGCTAGATTTGTTTTTGAGCATTATAACTTTGTGTCTGATAGTATTTTTCTTCAGTGTATTAATAAAAAATCTACAACTATGCATTTATGAATGTGTGCCTTTTCAATTATATTTTCCATAGGTTTATTAGAAAGTACACTTTTAAAATGATGCAAAACTGAAGTGTAACTTAAACTATGCATGCAGAATATTTTGTTTACCCTATCTTTCTAGAGAGAAAAAGCATAAAAATATAATGACTGCCATTTGATGAAAGAAATGTAGTTTAATTTGGTCAGTAAGTATATTTTAAACACATCATTGTGGAGAAGTGGTGGCTTCATGAGCTCTTTGAACTATTAAAAACCTGCAATGGAAAGGTTATTTTTTTCTGCTTTCTTCAGGTAGCTGATAAAAACGTTTTGGTATTCTCAGATAAAATTAAATTAAAATCCCATTTCAGGCTTAGACTGGACTCAACACAAAGTAAAAGCTCAGAATTTTGTGTGCAACCACTTCCATTTTTCTTTAGAAATGGAATTATTACTGTTAAAGAAGTGAAACTTTATATACAGTGTTAGAAGATCTAATAAAACAGCTCCATTTGAATAACAATGGAGGGCAATAATAGCATTTGAATGTCAGAATAACTACCAGTGAGAAAATGGAAATGAGTGGTACTGAAAGGAAAAGGAAAACCAATAATAGCAGATTTATATAAAATTTATTGAATCATGAAATTACATTCGATTATATTTTGCAAACAGATCCTGACTTGACTGACTTAAAGTGACAGGCTTATGATGGCTATTACAATATTATAACTTTGACTGCAGCCAAATTGTTTTTGGTAGCAGTGAGCAGTATGGGAAATCCTTTCTGGTTATGATTAAGTTTTGTAAATGCTTTATTCATAACTTAGAGTGAAATCTATGATGTGTGGAGAACCATGGGAATAACATGCTTTGTACACAAGCACAACTAGATTGCCTGAAGTTGAACAAATGTTTCCATAAATCATTATGGATTTTTCTGATTTTATTGGGCTTTTGATTTGTGGTTGTTGCAATTATCATGGAGTGGGCAGTTTGTCACTGCTGCTGCTATTATCTGATGAGCTTCCTTGTAAACTTGGACTAACATAATTTAAGAGATATGTTATAAATAGATTTAGTTCCTTCATAAATAACAGGTCAGAATTATTTTATGGTTACTACCTTTAAGGATTAATTGAAGCATGTTCTTTTGGCCACCTACTGAATAATGAAAGACTTGGACAAATGAGAAAAGCAGGTATGAGGAGTTTCCTTATTTTCATGGAAGGGGATACTAGTTTTATGTTTTAGTTTCTTATAGCTTAACCATCTGCTATGACATAAAAATATACTGTAATCACACTCAAGATAACTGGTTATTTTGAGGTCCTGTTTAGTATTCTGCTGAAATAGATCATCTATCTCCGAGTTTTCAAGTTGCAGAGGAATTTGTGGAGTTCAAATATAGCTGTCCAGCAGTGAGCATTTAGTTCAACTATGTTGGACATCAACAAATTCTTTCTAAAGAGGTAAATGTATAAATCTATTTAAAGAAAAGGAAAGAGCGAGAATCAAGGACTTAGTCTAAACCCATGCAGACTTATAGTTATGTTTTAGTTTATTGTTATCTCCTTGCTGGATTTAATTGAAAAAAAAAAAACAGAAACACACATTATAATGTGTACACTGGTTAGTATTAAAACATAAACACAATTTTCTACACATTTATTTGTTCTGATATGGATATAGTATTAACAAGACTTTGAACTTTATGATTTATGTATCATGTAACTATTTCTGATTTAGCTGAAATAAATATGTTGACATTATCCGATTGAGTTATTGAAAAGCTTTTAGGCATTTTTATTATTCTCCTCACTGATTCTTTGACATTTCTTATTTTTTTATGTAGTTCTATCATTCCACAAAATATGAGTTGTTATTTAACTGTTAATTTGGACAGACCAGGACAGGAGTCCAAGTCCAAAAACTTTCAGTCTAATCTTCTTTCCCTTACTTGTGTAACACTGCTTCTACTTCTTTATATATAATTTTGCTTGTGGCATAACAAAGTCATTTCAATCCACAAATATTCATGAATTTTATTTGTGTTTTCCAACAACTTGCCAATAACATTTCTGAGTTGTGGAAATAAAATGTCTCTAGACATTTTCCAACTGTTCCCTAGAGGGCAAAATCATCTCCTTTCTTTGTAGAAAACACAGCTCTAAATAAATCATTTATGCAAGCATTTTCCTAAGTATATTTCAATAAACACTAAGTCCTGTGTCACTGTGTTATAGATATTTTAAGATAAAAGTATGCAGTAGCCAAAAAAATTTGAAAACTACTATGTAAAATCTGTTTTTACATTTTTTAATTGGAGAACTTTTCAGTCTTTGATATTGCTAATATATGCTATACATACACAAAAATGGAGTATAAAATATAATTTTGACTTTCTAAAAATATTGCTAAATTCTCGCTGTCTTTAGAGCACCTACTGAAATTAAGAGTCTAAACATAACGTATCTTGAGAAATGGTAATCTATGTATTTGACAGCCAAATATATAATATACATGATTTTAACCTCCCTACTCTGCCGCTCTGCTAACATTCTATTGATGAGTTGATGTGAAGAGTTTAGGATGTTGGTAAAAGATGAAAAGTAACACATGAACAACCAGTTTTGAGCTTTCTACCACTTTCCTGAGGGAATGCTCTAGCCTCTGTTCCAAATTCCTAGAATCTGTACATTATTGATTACAAACTGTTTGCCCTAGTAAAGTACTTCATTCCTGTTTCCCAAGGGGAAGAGATGATGGTTTGCCATAACACGAAGATGAATAAAATACCTAACTGAAAATGTAGTAACTTTGTTGTGGAAAAAAAAAAAACTTGTAAGTCTCATCTTTTCCTACAGTACAATGATTTTTGTATATCCAACACATTTTTAAAAAATAGAATTTCACCTTTGTTTTCTGACTTACATATAATTCTTATGCTAAGAAAAAAATAACTAAAATGGTAAAAATTGTTTATTTTTCATTATGATTCAAGTGTTGCTCATCTAAGTATAATGAACATTAAGATAAAATGATACTCACAATATCCATTCTACATTATTTTAATATATTTATTAATTTTTTTGTTAAGATTATTGGCATTAGTACCTCTAAATTCCTTCGAGGAAAGAATTCTCTTGTACCTCATGTGCAAAGAATATCACTTTTTATATACACATACCCCAGTTTAATACTGTGTGGGGGAAAAAAAAATATTTTGCTAATGTGTCATCTGGATATTTCTTAGTAGTTGTAAAACAGAGATTAAAAAACAAAAGTTAATACACACTGAGTAGCATCAGGCTGAGAATATCCCAGTCTTTGAGATTTACCTTCTACGTGTCTTGGATCCTAGGATCACATTATCCTGGCTGCTAAAGAATTAGCATGCTTCTATCCTCATGGGGTTAATTTATGTAGACTAAGGAGATGCTGAGTATTAAACAGGTTGCCTTTGCTGTAATCATAGACCTCCACTGGGAGATTTTAATTGGCAACAAGTAAAATTGCTCTGCATGAATTCTTAATGGTGGACACTAATAAAATAAGAACTATGATTTGTTTAAATCCCTTCAAGAGAAAAGGAGGCTATCTCTGGGGTTTAGAATGTGTAGCAAACAATGAGCACACTCAGTGCTCTATAATCGCAATCAAAGCTCTGAAGGCAAAATATCATGCTATGCCAACTCAGTAAGGGCACTTGTTTCCCACTCTGTCTGTATCCCTGTC